ATACCACGTCGAAAAAAAAACAAAAAAACTAAAAAACAAACTGAAAGAAATGAAACTGAAAAAAAGAAACCTAGATTCGATTCTTACACTCAACCGAACTTACAAGAAATTAACTGTCACTAATGAACAGAACGAGACCAAAAACAGTACTGACTGTAGATAAACTAGTTTACTACGCAGAGTTGGACAAAAAAAACGATAGTTCGTATGGTAATGCCTAGAATTTTGGAGCGCAGTTTGGTCGTTGAAAGGGTACTTTTGACGAAAATATCGCAAAACAACTATCAAACTTCCTATGAACCAAGAATAATGCAAATAAGACTGCTCCTTTTTGGGCAACTCCTTCAATGTTCCGGTGGGCTTTAATTTTTATATAGAAGTGTTTCTTTTAAAGCAAAATGATAAAAAATTTAAAACAAAAAACATGGGAAAATTTAAATAAAATTATCCCTCCAAATGTATTTAAGCTAAAAAACAGTTTATTTGACATAGTTTTGCTGTAATTTAAACAAAACTGCTTATAAATGGGGTATTTCTTCAAAAAAGTCACTGATGAATTTAAAAAGAAACTAAATATTGTTTATATTGGGAGTCGGGAGTTCAAGCTATTTATGAGCGTAGTTGGATAATTTTCAGTTTATGTTAGAATCATAGTTGAGGTATATCGCTTTGGGCTGTTCTTTTGCAGGTAAAGCAGGTATAGTTATCAGGAAAAATTAATTGACTAACAATAAAATGAAGCAACAATTGAAGTTTATCACATGAAATGATGAAGGGATTGAAGCACAAGAAAAACAGAGGAAGTTATTCAATTCCTTTTGTAGGCTTGAGGGAGCTTTTTCAAAAAAGTTTTAGCTGTCAAACTAATAACTTTTATCAAACAAAAATTACTCCAATAAAAAAATCTTTTTCTTAATTTTTGAAAATGAAAAACAAAAAAATCACGTTGCTACTTTGTGTAACTCTCCGGTATATGAAAATTCTTAATTTAGTTACATTTTTGAATGAGTTTTGCGCCCTCGCAAAATTTGAAATATAATAAAAAACCATTGACTGTTAAAAAAATTACAATTTAGCTGACTTTCGAAGTAAGAACGATTCGACATTAGTTAAAGAGCAGTCAAAACAGTCAGGCCTTTGCCCTGATTCACGAGTAGTCATGATAAACTCCCTGAGTTTTTCAGTGTTTTGAAAAATAATTCAAAGTTATTGCAATCCTTTTTATCCAGAGTAATCAATCTTTTAGTGCAATCATCTAATTACTGATTACAGTGTGATCATCTAAATAAATGAAATCATTTTTTTATGCTAGTTTTAATTAGTTCGAAATTTTTCCACGCCACGTCCCACGTCGTTATAGGGTATCAACAATCCAAAACCAGATCTCTTTTACATAATTGATATACCACAAATTAGAAACGATGTTTGGTTTTGGATTATTATTTTTTGGTGCCCTCGAAAATACCGCGTCGAAAAAAAAACAAAAAAACTAAAAAAAAAAACTGAAAGAATTGAAACTTAAAAAAGGAAACTTAGATTCCTACACTGACCGAACTGACAAGAGAATAATTGTCACTATTGAACAGAGCGAGGCTAAAAACAGTAATGACTGCAGATAAACTAGTTTACTACGCAGAGTTGGACAAAAAAACGATAGTTCGTATGGTAATGCCTAGATTTTTGGAGCGCAGTTTGATAGTTGAAAGGGTACTTTTGACGGAAATTTCGCATTAAACGTATTAAAACTCGCTATGTTCCAAGACTAATGCAAGCAAGACTGCTACTAATTGGGCAACGCCTTCAATATTCCGGTGGGCTTTAACTTTTGTGAAGAACTGTTTCTTTTAAAATAAAATGATAAAAATTTTAAAACAAAAAACATGGGAAAATCTCATTTCAATTATCTCTCCAAATGTATTTAAACCTCAAGTCAGTTTATTTGAAAGTTTTTTAGTTGTGCTTTGGTTAAAACAAACTGCTTGTATTATGGCGCAGCACTGAATGTTCCGACAGCAGTGTAAGGTCTATGGTGTAGTGTTCGCCGTAAAAAAAACTGATGAAATTCAAAAAGAAATGGAAAAAAAGCAAAACTTTTTTTTAAAACTATATTCTAAATTATCCTCCGCACGCTATGCATGATGCACATTTTCAAATTTGACATCTTGCAAAAGAAAAATGAGGCAAAAGAGATTGCGTCATTTTAATTTAGAAGGATTTCGAAGGGTATTAAATCTCCACTTTCGCATGACTATAACGATATTAATGACGCGTTAAATTTCACAAATTCGGCATGTTGGCAATTCTTACGCCTCGATAATTTAGATAAGGAATCACAGGTGAAATATTATTTTTATTTGATTTCAAGACAACAAAATCTTACAGAAGTTATAAGAAATCTGTCAGAAACGTCTAGTTACAGTTCGAACTTGGCCCGGAGGAAAAAAATCACCAAAGCACAACCAAATATTCCGTCTTTTTGCCCAAAAACCGGTACTATCGTTTGTTCATTTCAATTAATAATTCTTCAAGAGAAGTTTGTAATATCAATGATTAATTTACGACAGTTGCAAGTTCTGAAACAGAGGATTATTGAGAAACAGTCTAATTATTTCAAAGTTTCCGTATCAAGACGCAAAAAAAGTCTTCAATGTTTCAGCATCTTCTGGTCTATGATCATTTTGCCTCGTTTATTCAATTTTGCTCAAAGAAAATCAAAAATTTTGCAGTAAAAGATTTATAAACTTACAATAATTGTTCTGATGAAAAATTTAAGTACAGAATGAGCCTTAGATATCGAAAAAGTCGTTTCCGGAGAACGGATCAAAAATGTGAATTTTTAATATCAAATCCAGTTGAAATATTTCACTGAACGAACCAAAATGCTTTTAACGCTTTCTGTTTTAGTTTAAATAGGGCAGCAGGGCGCATTAAGTTCCGATGCAAAAAAGTTTTTCCATGAGGTCAGATTTGAATTTTCAACGCCTTTTTACTTAATCCTTATAGAACTTCTACTTGAATAATTTTTTTTTCAGTTTAAATCTTACCCTACAAAAAAACTGTACAATGCTGGTTACAATTTTTTTTTGCGCCATAACAGTCTGGAACCTATTTTAGATTTGCTTCGTCCTATTCGATAGACGACCGTTTTCTGGCAAGATTTTGCTTGATTTTTGCACTAATAGATTATCTTTTAAGAATTTTACAAGGCCTTGAAATATAGAAATCTTTAAAATTATTTCACTAAAAGGATGATATGAGCATGAAAACACAAAAATATTAAATCGACTCAGGTAACAAATTAGAAATTGATTTGTGACGGTGTAACAAGGTTGGCCCTGTGCAATTTTCTTTTCTAAAATGACTTGTTTTTTTTGCGGTACGACAAATAATCAGGTACGACAAAAAATCAATGGAATTGGCTAATTCATATATCATGTATGTGTCCTTCTACTCATGATTCGCACGTCAAAAAAAAAAGAGTTTTAAAAAACTGTCTCAATGTCAAGAAAAAGTTTTTAACATTTTTGCGAGTTGGGCAAGTTGAGCGTTTTGAGCGATCAAGTATGTATTTTTGTTAAATAGAAATTGGTCAAAAGGGCTTGAAAAACTTGATTGCCAAAAACAAAAGTTTGTTTCGAAGCTTAATTTGACTCTTCAATGGCAAAAAAAATGTCCAAAAAAAGTCGAACAATTTTGTGTACATACAAATGGAACATTTTTAGAAAACTTTTATAATGTTTTTATTTGTTTTTTTTATCAGAGATTTTTTTTTGAATTATGCCTAAATTTTAAATTATGCCAAGTTTTTTCATCCCACCACGCACAAGAAACGACAATATTTTGAAGAAAAACTCTTCTTAGTAGTTTTTTTCCGACTTTTTTTATGAAAATGGTCGGAGCATTCTGTGGTTCTTGCACAGACACCGGCTAATTTTGTTTGATTTTAGTGTGTTGTGTAATTTTGATAGATAATTTACAAAATTTAGCGAAGTAGCTAAGCTAAGAAAAATCCATGAACTTCAGACAAATTCCAAAAATCTTATCGATATCAATCCACTCATTTATCGATATAAAAAAGTATGCAACATCTCCCTGTCGCTCGAATCTTGACTGAGAAGGCTGAGATATAATTTTGCAACATATTTTGAAATTCCTAAAGTGGCTGAGTTTGTCTGAAAATATCCACAAGCAAATAAAAAAATACTTCTTACCTTCGTTGTTTGGAATTAAACTTTCCTTAAGAACTTTCAACCCCCGATAGAAGAAAAAATAAACATTTCTTTTGTTTGCGCCTGATTTAGGTCATAAAATGAAAGGCAACCTAATAACCAGATATAATAAAATATATCTTGATTTACGGGTTTATTATCCACCTCTATTGTACCAAGTAAACAAATACCCCATTCTCGCCAATTCAACCACTTCACATTCTTCCGATGATGAAGGCAGAAATCCAATTCTTACCTACTTCACTACCAATTTCCAGTTCAGAAAAACCCAATACAATTTTATATAAAAGAAGCTTCGGTGTCAATAGAAAATAAACTTCATGGAAAAGAGCAAACAATTGGTTCCGAAAATCAAACCAATTATTTTAGTCGTAGTTGTTTGGGAAAATAAGAGAAAAAATTGAAGAGAGACAATGTAACCTTTTGATATTCTTTGTTTGGAAAAAAAACTTTTGAAGTGTGAGGAAAATTCACTTAGAGCATTTTCAATAAAGATGTCCTTAAAACGAGTGAAAATCAAAGTCACGAATGTGAATTCAAATACAATTTAGGTTTATCAATAAACCAAGCAGACAGGAGTATAACTTACCAAAAAGCCGGCGCGTAATTTATAATCTTAATGGTCTTCTAAATAGCATTCTGAATTTGAATGGAGCTTAAAATGAAAGCAGCTTTTCATCTTTGTTCTTTTTACTTCTAAGTCAGTGTTTTTGTAGTTTTTGGGGGTGATTTTGAGTCTTATACCAGAAAGAAAAGTAACTAACTGTATACCTGATTCAATCGGAGGAAAATGAGAGTGTGATCAAAATTATAACAAACTATATGAGGGGAGACAATTCCAACTGGGCTGTTTTGAAAAAATAAAGGTTCAAAGCAAATTCTAAATCGAGCGGAAAATTCTATATGGCTGGTGTCTTTATATACTTTACCAAAACAGCAACCAATTGCAGCGAAGCAGATATATTATACACTATAAAGAAAAAGTGGTTGACTATTTAAAAGATTTGATTTGCTTGGTTTTTCCCAAATGATTTATTTCTCATCGCAAAACTTACTCCAAAATAATGGTCGAGGAATAAAAAAAAACTGGAAAAAAAATGTAATAAAACGGCGGTAAATATCTAATTGTTCGAAATAACTACTCGAAGAGCTCATTAGGAACTTGTGTGCGGACCTGAAATTTGACTTAGTTGTAAATTAGAGGGGAAGCTTTTTAGGAATTTCCGTTCAGCCCAGTTCATTGACAGCATTCGAATTTCATAGCCGCAAGATTTTTGAAGGAAATCAATTAGCGCGTCCGTTTAGAACGTTTTCTGACTTCGTTAAGCAAAACATCATTTCAGATGACCAAATAATGAGGCTATCTAAAGAGGAATTTTAAATCTCTTTATTAAAATTTCCAACTGATAAACCTTCCGAGTAATGAACTGTCACGAAAGAGGTTCAAATTTTAGATTTTTTCCCTGCCTAATCAGAACTGAAAAAGTGTTTGAGCAATTTTCCAATCTTGTGAAAATTTTTGTGTTATTAGTATATACATTTTTGCTGGTACCCCAGGAGTCCAAAGACAAAACTTTTGATAAATTAACAAAAAATGCAGCCTAACAGTTTCGCAACAAAAAAAAACTCTACAAAATCTTAAAATCAAAAAAAATGTTCAGCAGCTAGAGTCGCGTGACCTAGCCGGATTCAAGGTGTTGAAACCTACAACACTCAGTACATCATAACTAGTTCGAGAGGTAATCCTCGAAAAAACACAAAGAATTTAAATATGCGTCCTCAAATAAGTTTTGTGGGGATGTGAGGAGAATGATTTACTCTTTATGCCCGGGAAAATTGACGAAAAATATTGAAAGAGTTATCTGGCCCGGCGTCAATACTCAGCTAAACATTTATACTTAATTTTGCACTGATTGTCGAAAAAAAAACAACAGAAATAATTTCCGGCAATTATTTTGGAAAAATGACTGCTCCAATTCATGCCCAGGGTTCTCATACAAAGTTATATTGTCTTCATTTTTTTCGAACTTGAGTATGATTACAAAAAACTTTTTAAAACTGTATCGTTAAATCGTTTACGACTGCTTTTTGACGCCGGAGCAAGTTCAGCTCTTCTTTTTTGTCATTATTTTTTGGCCTAAAGAGCATATCAACCTCGTCAGCTCCCCAATTAACTAACTTGAGCCCATAAATTCATTTTCTTCAATATTTTTGGAAAGACTTTTCCAGGGCCACATCGCAATATTACCTCTGAAACTAGTTATGATTAACTGGCTGTTTTACACTTTCAAAGCCAGGTTTCGCCAGCTTTAAGCCATCTACTTTTTTTCCAAATAATTCCAGTAGTATGTATAATAAATTCAGTCTTACCTTCCTATTTTTTAGTAGTTGCAGAGAAAACGACAAAAACATGTTAATTTTCACTTTGAAGTTAAAAAGTTGCAATTTTTATGTCCCGTGACTGTAACATCTACCACTTTAAAAAACCAAACAATTAATAAAAATCCTTCCATACATTTTAAGTCAACAAAAAACGTTTCAGTTTACAAAATGTAACATCCAACATGGGCTTGGCTAACGATAATTTTTCTAATTTAACGATGAAAAACCATTAAACCAGCCTCATTATCTTCTATCTTTGTTTTTTTTTAAATTACTTTAATTAGTATCTTTTGAAAAAATTGCATATCCTGAAAAAACGTACTTCCGAGAAAACTTGCTTTCAATTTGATTTTCCGGATAGAAAGCCATTTGACACCGTTCTCAAATTTGAATGAACAACCCTATCAAATAATCAAAATCATACAATTTTAGAATAAAAAAGCTGAGAATTTTTTCTTAGTTTTGTGAAAGCATCCATTTTCATTGGAGACAAAAGCTCTTATATATTTTTTTAAAACTTGAATATGATTAAACCAGTCTTTTACGTGAAAAACGCTGCTTACTCCCATCGAAAAAAACGGCGCAAATTGTTTAGTTTGCGGGCAATACGTTTTTAATAGTCGCGGAGTAACAGAAATTTTCAATATGTGTACCCTTATATGCTTGTCCCACTCAATGCACACAAAATCAAGGACAACCGTTTACAGTGCAAGTAGCACAGAACGCTCCGACTAGAGCCTAAAAAAATTTTTTCTTCAAAAACTATTGTTTTTTTTTTCTGTGTGGTGATAAAAAGGATCTGAACACAAAGCTGGAACTTGGGAATATTTGACAATTATAGTCAAAAATTGTAGAAAATGACTAATAAAACCAAAAAAAAACATTTGAATTAATCAAAGAAATTTGGAAAAAAAATTTTCGATTCTTTCAAATGTTTTTTGTTGTTTTATTGGTCGTTTTTCTACAATTTTTTACTATAAATGTCAAACTTTCCCGAGTTTCAGCTTTGCGTTCAAAATTTTTATCACCACATAGAAAAAATCAACACTACTTTTTGAAGAAAAAAAATTTTGAAGAAAGAAGTTTTTTGATTTTTGGAGCTTTTTCTTTTAAATGGCGCTAAGAAAAACTCCAAAAACAATTTTATTTAGTTTAACTATGTTTACAGGGCTTAAATTAAGCAAAAACAAGCTATAAAGCTATTATTGCTCGAATTTAAACTAAAAATCAAAAACCTTTTTTTATGGATACGGGGACAACTTTTTGAAAATTTTTTGAAGTCGTTCGAGTCACGACTGGAAGGGCTTTATAATGATATATCATTTAACCCATCCGATGACTGTTTATGGTACCTGATTTTGCGTGGAAAACAAAAAAAATTACAGCGGACGCAAATACAATGTTCCTCCCCATTTTTCAAATGGTCAATACAATTATTCACCTGACTTGCAACTTTTTAAACAGTTTGGTCTAGCTGTTTTGAAAAAAATAGGCGTTGTGGTAGAAAAAAACTGCAAACTTCGTAGGCAAGTGTCCTAAATGAAGCACTTTCCTTTGATTTTTCTATTCGTCCGAGTCATTAACTAACGAAATGTCTAACAGTGCGCTTATGAAAAAAAGGAAACATTGCGAGCTATTCAACTCACTTTTTGCAGACGAGTGTAATTTTTCCGCTGACTCGTTAGCCATAAACCAAAAAATTGCCTCTTATCGACCGGCGACGAGCTCCACGTGACTTTCATGTACTTTCCGGTTCTTTCTTTATTTTATATAATACTCAACATGCAAACAGGAAATTAACCCTTTAGAATTTGAAAATAAGACATAAGTGAGTAATCTTCAGCTAAAACAAAATTAGTTGATTGCTGTGCAGTTAGCACATTAAGTTCCGACAACAGTTATCACTGCAAATTATCTTCTCGTCAGTTTTTTTCAAAAAGGAAGATGATAAAATGACATGTTATAGTGTCTCTTCAAAACATCAATCAATAGTTCGAATTCCGTCTTTTCACTAACTTTCAGTCTGAATAATTAAAAGATCAGACCGCTTTCGCTGGACACTGAGATATTTTTTTGCAATCCGAAACACGACTAATATTTTTCATGCTGATTTCTTTATGACAAAAGTTTTCCGCTTAAAACGTTTTTCTGATTGCTTAAAAGGGAAGTTAAATGAAAAGCAATGAGCAAATACAAATTTACGGTAAGCAGTTATTCTTAACTGGAGTAATCGAAAAGCTGATAAGTCTATTTGATGTTCTCCCGATTTAGTGCTTGCGGATTCATGGATAATCATTTATGCTAATGACTTTTGTCTATGAATCAAGTTTTGGAAAAATTAATAATCAAGAATATTAATCAGGACGAGTATTGGACCAGTTTTCATTTGGTAGAATAAGTTAAAATGATATCAAATGCCTTTTAGAATTAGACATACCTTATTTACAAATATTCCTTAAAAAATTGTAAATTTGGGCAAATCTAGTAAAAATTACGGCTGGTTTTTGAAAAATCTCGATGAAGACGAGTTATACAGTGGTGTGTTCAAGTATTTTTTTGTCGGGCCGAAAATAATTTGTGCATAGTTTTGTTTCTTTTTTATTTAAACCACTCATTCCGATTTTTTCAACACTGCCCAAATCATAGATAGGACTCAGATATTATATTGTTTGTATCGTTTATGAAAAATGTTTGAAAAACTGACGCCGGGTAAATATGGGCGCCCACAGTTTCTTAAGATAAACTTCCGAGTTGATCAGCAGAGATAAATCACCAAAGAAGATCTTGTGAAAAATTTTGTGAGCCAAAAGTGTAAATAAAGCAGAGTGGGTTTTTGAGGCTTTTGAAATTGAATCCTTATCTCGCAGAGAGATCGTTTAATTGTTGATAAACTGTTGACGTAATTCAAGCAAAAGAAAATTGGAAACTGCTTAGCTTTAAAAACAGTTTAAGTTTTAAATCAGAGTGCTAAAAGTCAAATCAGTTGGGGGAAAAGAAGCGAGGGTAAGAACATGTGGGTTGAGAAAATGTTAGCTTTTTTCTTGCGGTTGAACTCAATTTGTCTCAACCCACATAAAAAGAACACAGACATTGATTGATTTCCCGACTCCCCTTAACTTTGTACGCCAAAACTTTTTACTTTGACCGCTTGATGTGAAAATGAGCACTATAAGCCTATACAATTATAGCTTGTAGATGAATTACACAATCCCAGCCAGTTGACTTTATCATCAGATCGTGCGATCAAAGTTTTCCGAAAGAGGATCTTAATCAGATTTGAAATATGTTCAAGTCCTTACAGTCGTGATTCAAGCTGCAACTGAAAAATTATATATATATATATATATATATATATATATATATATATATATATATATATATATATATATATATTTCTTTTTTGCTATTACGTAATTCACAAAATGTATGTGCTGTTAGTGAATGTTCAAAACTGATCGAAACTTTCCCTAATGTGCCCAAAAACTCTTTTGTCGGTTTGCAAAAATTGCCTACGGCGAAAATAACACTGTCCTCCGTTGGAAAAAAACCATTTCTGC